CGTCCATATCCTCATCATCGCTTGTATTGAAAGCTCTCGCTGCTGGGATCGGCCCTCCTCCACTGGCTCCCTCATCATAGCCCAGAACTCCTTTATCCCGCGAAGGCCGCGCAAAGTCCTGGAAAGATCGCTTTTTCACGAAGGAGGATGGCGGAGGCCCCAAGCTTCCTGGTCCGCTCTTGAGTCCCGATGTTCCAAAATGCCGTCTCCCTGGTCCTGAGGGTGGTGGCGGGCCTCCAAATCCATGTCGCGGGCGTGGAGGTGCTGAAGAGCTTGGTGCGTTGTGTCCATCGTAGTCATCATCGCGGTCGAAACTTTTGACGAATTCATTATATACCGCAGCGGTTTCTGCTTCTTCTCGTAGTCGCTTGGCTTCGGCTTCTGCTTTTTGTTTCTCGAAGGCGGACTGCTTGGTCGGTTTTTGCAGCTTGGCTTCCAAGCTTGGAAATTCGGATACGCCCTTTCCGGATGACATTTTCGGTTTCGGTCTGCAGCTTGTTGATTCAGTGCATCTCTGTTGTCGTACGCGAAGTATGCCCAGTTTCCATTGAGATAGGGACTGTTGAGAGAAAGACTGAACACAGACACAGTTGACTGGAGTTAACGTTAGCTGTCGCAATAGTCTCAGCGCGTTCCCAAGTTCCAGCTAGTGGGCCTCATCACTGTAAGCCTAATCGCTTACCGTGCGCTAGGTTTAATGGGGCATAACGCAATTCGGTATTTCGTGGTCAATTACCTACCCTACGTATGGCTCAAGATCGAGTGAGTTGCAGTTTACAGTAGTTTCGGGCTGAAACATATGTGATCGAGAAGGAAGCATGCAACTCGATGAAATAGTCTTCTATTGGTGACAAGTCTCGTGAAAGTGGCTCTCGAATCGGAAAAGTATAAGCCGAAGGTGATGGGTCCTATTGGCAAAAATGTCAGAAGACTATCAATATAACCCATCAGGTTACACCCTAAAGCAGAACCAAGTGGGACGCTGCAGTATAATGACCGGGAATTATCCAAATAGGCTAACTAGTTTATTATATATTGTTTAAGCGTGTCTTGGGCCATTTTCTCGACAACGTGTGCTCTGCCGCTATCGGCATCACGTGATACCCTCTGGAGGGGTGAAAGTTTTGAACTGAAGTTGGAGAAATATTGTTCGGAGGATGACTGAAGCATACTACAATTTTCAGTTCACTTCAGTATCTACCCTTCAAGATGTCAAACGCGGACCAATCACCATGCCGAATTCTCGTCATGGCCTCTGGTTTTGGCTCCAACTTCCAGGCTCTCATTGATGCGATATCTACCGGTTCACTCCCAAATAGTCGTATCATTTCTCTCATTGTGAACCGACGGAACGCACACGCAACTGCCCGAGCCGAGAAAGCTGGTACGGGCCCTCTCACAAAATCCTATACGTCGTGCTAGTCCATACGACTTTCATGTGTATATACTGACTCGTGACAAGGCATTCCTTGGCAATACTTTAACTTGATCTCTCACGGATTCTTGGGAAAGGGAGAATCCAACGAGCAGAAGGTGACTGAAGGCCGTCGGAAATATGACGCCGCGCTGGCCGAAAAGATTCTCTCAGCCGACGAGAAGCCTGAGCTTATTGTACTCGCTGGTTGGATGCATGTCTTTTCGACTGCGTTCTTGGACCCTATCCAGAGAGCTGGCCTGAACGTCATTAACTTGCACCCGTGAGTATAACGTGTTACGTCTTTGTAAATAGCTGAACCATTAACAAAACCACACAGTGCTCTACCAGGAGAGTTTGACGGAGCCAATGCGATCGAGCGAGCTTATGATGAGTTCAAGGCTGGTCGACTAACACGCTCAGGTATCATGGCCCACTACGTGATCGCTGAAGTAGACAGGGGTACTCCTATCCTGGTCAAGGAAATTGAGTGGAAGGGAGAGGACCTAGAACAGTATAAGGAGAAGGTTCACTCTCATGAACACGAGTTGATCGTCAATGCGACCGCAAAGGTGGCACAGGAGACAGTCAAGAACAGAAGGACATAAAAACGGAGACGACATAAACACTGCTATAGCAGTACTGCACAATGACTAAGAAGAACGTGACATGAGACAAACTTGATAGACAAAACCCATACGGAACATGAGATAAGAGGCAACCCATCTCCATCAAGAGCAGTTCTATGACCATAGAGGTGACCAACAAGCTACTCTCCTACGTTCGTCTGGTAACCAGGTATGGAGTCGTGGAACCAAAGAACCAGATATCATCATTCCTTAGCTCAACCCTTCATTATACCCCCTTACAGAATAAAACTCAAATCTGTCTCTCCCTGTTCCATATAAAATATCATCCCTGGCATGTGAAGTCATGTTAAAACCGGCGCTGCTGAAACATGGCCCGTCGGATATTTATTAGCCCGCTGTCCATATCATACCCAACGTGTTGTAAGTGGTGTTATGGTTGTAAGCTTATCCTCCTTCCAAGTCAGACCATGGATGTCGCTTCTTCACTTTCTCAAACATTCCAATCTTTACAAACAAAACATGATTTCTTGAAATGCTACAAACGAACGCTTCATCTAAATCCAATCCATATGCGGCTTGCGCCCCAAAGGCCTTCTGATGTTCTATCATAGCTTGGCCTTGGTGTTCCCAATAAGCGCCCTGCCCTTCTCGAGCTCATCACAGAGCACCAAGGGCCGTCCACCTCTGCTACCATCTTCCGTCACTAAACCAGTGTACACTCCGTTCGTCTCTCTTCCGACTCCATCATTCTGGATCTCTTTCCATCGCCACTTCTCGCCAAGCTTGCCACCCTGGCCTTGCATAACATCCACGATTTTCTCACCCAAGTTGGGTAGGAACTTGAATCCGTGTCCACTGTCACCTGTTGCAACAAAGAGTCCCTTCCAGCCCGGGTGGTAGTCAATGAGCCACTCGCCATCTCGTGTATCGGAATACCAGCAGATTCGAGCCTCCTTCCATGGCCTGGTTTCTAGGCCACGTATAGGACACAGATCCGTGAGTGCGCGGCGCAGATCTTTGTCAGCCTCGACGGTTAAAGGATTTGAGGAATCGTTGCGAGAGGTGTAGGGTTGAGATGCGATGAATGGTTCCCGCTTATCGTTGGGCGAAGGAGGAAGAGCGTTGTTAATCTTGACCGGGTTAATGTACCCGAATGTGTGTCGGGCGGCCTTGAGGACGTTATTTCGAGGAGGAATGAGGAAGAGACCGGTGCTGAGATTCAACACCACAGGGAAGTTGTCGAGTCGCTTCTGCTCTTCCGGTGTGATGTCCATATACGCGACAGCATGGCCAGTAGCCTCTGTTCTTCCTCGAAGGTCAACGAGTGAGCCGGACCAAGCACCAGCAGCTACCATAACCACATCGGCCTTGAGAATCTTTGAATCGCTCAATTTCGCACCAATGACTCGGTCACCCTCTGTTACGAGCTCTGTCACCTTGCCGTTGACAAAATGAATACGTCCTGTGGCCTGGGCCTGCTTATAGAGCCACTTCATACCCTCCCCGGCATCAGCCCAGCCAGAGTTGCCATTGAGGTAGCCCCAGTCTCCGGGATAACCGTCTGTGCCAAGGAACTCTTGGAGAGCCTTGGTACTCTCCAGCTTCTGGATCTTATCCACGGGCAGACCAGTCTCCTTAGCAATCAACTCGACGTTTTTGGCGCTCTCCTTGGTGTAGTCCATGCCAGACTTCTTGAGCTTGAAGTCTTCAGGAGTCTCGCTCGCGCAGAGAACAAAGCCCGACTCGGAATATCGTCCCTGCCCACCGACCTCATGATCACCCTGCTTTCGCCATTCCTTCTGCGCCTCGGCGGCAAGCGCGGCATAGTAAGGGTCCGAGTAGTCGGCTCGTACAATGCGAGACGAGTCTACACTGGCAGCATCTTCTGGAGGAAACTGTCCTGCGCAGTCGTCGACGACAGTAATCGAGGTGTTGGAATAGTGTGATCGTTTGGCCAAAGCCCAGGCGGTACCGAGCCCGAAGACTCCAGAGCCAACGATAAGGATGGAAGAGGGAGGACCGGCCATTGTGACAGACAAAGATGATAGACGGTCGAGGAGAAGACAAGCAAGGCTTCCTGCGAGACACGATCACTTATCTATCTGCAACTGTCAACAAAAGAAAGTTCACATGGGCCGATGAAATGCAAAGACTTTTCCCCGTTCCCACACCGATCACGGCGTTGTCCGAGTAGGAGAGCGTCCCAACGACATTAGAACGGGGCCAAAAATCGGCTGATAAGTCTTTGGTGCTGCCGAGAATCGGGGCTAGTTTGCCGATCGACAACAAAGAGAATGCCATTATTGGCTGGGCACGTGAGTGGATAATCATGCATCATTGACGCACGCGAGCTTCACACACAAAATATCAAAACGACTGCAAACTTGGGAGAGAACTTAAAACTTTATTTATATCTCACTACTGAGAAAAAAAAACCTGCACACTCTGGAGACATGCATCTCGCAGATGTTGGTTTAAGTTTAAGGCAACCATATGATTGTCTTAACCACCAGCAGATGCTGGGGTATGCTCTCCATGTTTTCACGAACTCGTTACCAAGTTCATGTTTTTTTTGGACTGAACCCTCAAAAGGCTCATTCGGGCAACTGTTCGACTTTGTTTCCTCAGCACCCTCTCTCAGCTCAACGCGTCCCTCAGGAATATTAGAAGCGCTCAAATCAACTGAGCGCGTGCGCCACAGTACTGGCGCGAGCAATCTATGATGTGTCGCAGGATGAGTAGTCTTTGCTTTTCCCCAGAACCGAAATCCCTCGTAAATAATCCCCTTCCTAGCCGCCCCTGCCAACGCCAATGCAATGCAGAAATTCAAAATGGTACAAACGCAAATTCCCGACCTCCAGCCTGGGCATCAAGACCAGGTGGAAGCCAGGGAACATGAAAGCAATCGTGGTATCATGACGGGTTGTCTAGTCATACACGTCGAGAAGGTGACATTGTAGTGTCGGATGTAAGATGACAAAGAGTCAAGTGGCACCTTAGACTTTGCGGAAATCTGGTGAGAAATGTTAGCATCAGTGCGACCAGAAAAAGAGTGAACAAAGACATACCTTGCAACACAGGGTAGATCATCTCGAAGGCCTGGTAGATCTCCTCGCGGACCTTGGCACCAGTCAAGACGATCTTGCCACTGACAAAGATGAGAAGCACGATCTTGGGCTTGATCATACGGTAGATTAGACCGGGGAACAACTCGGGTTCATAAGAACTGAAATTGTGATGGCGAGATGCCAAACCCTCGAGTCGGATAGGGAACTTGATATCGCAAGAGCCGACGATGTTCTGAATCTTGAAGTCGGTGAACTTGGCATTGAAACCAAGCTTCTGAATGATACGAGCGTACTTTCTTGAAGCGAGCTTCGAATCGTCTTCAGACTTGGCACCAGTGACAACCATCTTGCCGGAAGCGAAGATCAGAGCGGTGGTTTTGGGCTCGCGGATTCGCATGATGACAGCAGCGAAACGCTTCTTCTGTTAGCAACGTGTTTCTTACTCGGTATTCACGTCAGATGTGTAGTACCTTGGGGTTGTACTCTGCGTTACGAGCATGCAGAGCAATAGTCTTGAGGTCCAAGCGGCAGTCCAAGTTCACTGTAGCCACAATGTTCCTTTAAAGTTTGCCAGATAAGCCTCGCTGAGCATAAAAAGGTCACTCAGGAGGATACATACTGTAGAGTGGGGGTAATTCCACTAGGTCCTTGAGTAGCAGCAGGCGTCGCGACAGGCGTTGCGGGTGCCACCCCATTGCCATTTGCCGCCTGCTGGCCGTTGAGGGCAGGTCGCTGAGCATCACCAGTACCGACGGGCGGAGGTGTCAGCTCGTTGGTAGCTCCAGGGAACGACAGCGATCCTGGCGCCGTGAACGCCTTGGCTTGCGCCGCGTTCGATGGGTGTGTCTGGATGCCTTCCATGATTGGAGTCGGTATCGAGATGCGTCAACGGTTATTAAAAAAAATCGCTGAACAGATCTAGAGCAAGACCCGAGTTAGCACCGCGCATCAAGGAAAAGAGCGTGCATCCTACCCTGGAAGGTAGATGCGATGGTGACGATGCAACCGGTAACAAGTGCAGCGCCGATGTGGTGTTGCGAAAGAGAAGTTGAGAAAAGGGAGGAGAAGTAGGCCTTTTATAGGGCGGGGATAGTGGGGCTGTGCAGTGAATCAGAGGGGCTACCTACCAATCGCGGGAGAGAAACAAGTGAATGTGTCCCCTACAAAGAAACTGGCCCAGCAAAGTTTTGTTCCTTAAAAGCGACGAACTCAAAGATTCGATGCGGAACGATTTGGAAGATGAGAGAAAGACAGTGGCTTTTTCCCTCGAGTCGATGTATCGATCAAGTTATTATAGGTTTAGAAGACCAAAAGCTTCTTTCACTTCACGACAGCTTCTTCTTTTTTTTTTCTTTCTATTGTTGTCTACAATAGCGCGATGAATCGATGTATGACGATGACGGTGTCGGCGGGTATCGCTTCGTTCCGGTCTTGGTCGGGTTCAACGATGTCGGTTGCGCTCAAGGAGCGAAGAGGGCAAGGAACGTTTTTCAGTTCTTGCAACCTGGTCGCAAGGGCTATGACCTAGAGAGTGTGATCACGTCTGCGACAGCAGGGTCGTGATGTATTGACAAAGTGAAGAGGAGAGAGACAAAGCCCGATATGATTCAAGGCTCAGACTGATATGGGACAAGATGGTAATTATCCACACAGATTGGGATGTGAAAGTGTAGATGTGGGGTGTGACGTCGTGGGGGGGATCAAAAATAAAAGGAGAGGCCGGACGTAAGTGGTTGGTACGTAGGGCCGTCAGTCGGGACTTCCGCGCAGGTCCTTCGAAACAGGCGGGCGAGGGGAGGGCTGGCTCTTTATAATTTTGAGCAAAGGCTGCTCAGGCAGGAGACCCCAGGCAACAACACGACCTGTGGCGTCCGACGCTGGCAGGCTTGGCATGAGCTAGTCTCTGCACTAAACTGAGTTGATCCAATCAAACACTCTTGCGACGCTGATTTTATCTCCTTTTTTCCCACCCACTCACCCCAGTCTCAGCATTGAGCCCCTGAAGTGTCGCTATAGCAGACTCAAAGTCTATGTACACATGTATCGGTACCTCTGTTTTGACTTTGCAACACGACCTGACCTGCGCCCAAACTTTTCCCGTTGCTCTGCACTCAGGCGCTGCAGGTTCTGATGCACTGGGGTTGCGAGCTTCCAGGATTTAAGGATTGCCACTAACTGGCTGTCCTGCTGCCCGATACAGGCCATACATGTGGATGGTAGCGAGCCGCTATTACCCTCGCCAGCGTTGCTTGCTCTCCGTTCAGTCGCAAGAGACACAAGCAGGGTGGCAAGGGAGCCAAGACGTGTACACAGATCAGAAGAAGCAACGGTCTAAGCGAGACACATTCAGGTGAGATAACCAACCCAAGTGACAATATCATCGAAGCAGCACTAACCAACTTTGAGTCACAACATGCAATGTAATCGCGTGTCTTTTCTCTCTTACCAGTTCACAAGTATCGGGATTATTTCTTCCACAGCTTGGCGTGAGCAGTTTTCCTCCTTTCCTGGCTGCGAGTTTTTTGGTCGTCATCATCCCTTTCCCTGCGCTTTATTTTCTGTCCCTCCATCACCTCACCTCAGACCTTGCACCTCCTCCTCTCCAACAACCCTCAACAGCAATCTGCGAGTCAATACCCAGCTATGAAATGTTGGATCGATTTCGATGACGAACGACGTCGACACCCCCGAAGATGATTAAAGGCAACACACGACAGAGATGAAGAGAGAGCGAAAGACGACGTGAACCGGTACCGACCGAGTCGAGATGGACGAAAACGATGCCAAATACCGACGGGAACGATCACGAAAGACAGCAAAGGCGGGCACCGAGACCCATCGACGAACAGAGCCTGCCTTGACCTGGACTGGCTTGACTCAAGCCGGATATCGCGACGGCATCAGCACGCAATCCGGCGGCGACAACAGCGTCACAGCGCCTATCCATGGAGACTCGCAGGCCTGTGGGCCTCGGATACGGACTGGAATTATGGGCCGGGGGGGCTAGTCCGACTAAGGGTGCTGGCGCGGTTGGTTGCTTTTTAGGCTTTCCACTCATTCAGACTGACTCCCACCTCTCATCAGCGTCTGACTCTGATTGCTCTCGCTCGTTGGCGCACCAAGATCGCCTCTGTTGCCCCAATCGCAGTCGCGTATCCCCGTCGCTCCTTATCGGAGCGGGCACCACTAACTCTGGTTCTAGCCATGCTCCGCCCTGTCAAACCCTTTGCTCGCCCCCCGTGGGACTTTTTTTCTGCTTCTCCCAACCCAACCACCAACACGATGGGACCCTGAAACACGCTCTGCCCCCTTCACTGACTGTTTTGTTCAGCCCACGCGCCCTCCTTTAGTACGCGTCGTCACCCCAGCTTCTTGAGCAGGGTCATTTGAATCGCGCTCATTTCACTGCGATAGTCGTCTCGCAAGCGTCTCATCAGCAAAGTCACCCCATTACATTGCCTGCAACAAGAATATGGCTCGGTCAAAAGGTCACGCGACTAAATGGCTGCACAAAGCCTGTTTAACGGACACTCCGCACAGCAGAATGTTTTGAAATTTGCCATTCCCGTGTCCAGTCAGCGTGCGACAAGGGAGTGAAGGGCAGGTTATGGGGGTTTCCTTTTTTCGTGCCCTCATATTGAGGCTATTGAGCCCCCCCCCCAACCGCCCGCTGACTCTGTGAGTCATTCAACTGTGGCCAACCAGGAAGCAGTTAGCCAGCAAACTGTCCCCCCCTTCGCAGTGCTAGGGAGGCTGGATCTGTGCGCCCACTGACTGGCTTCTTGCATCATGTACTCAGTACTACGACTTGGGCATCCCGCCATAAATGATGCAGTCGTAATGGTTGCTCACTTTTGGACGCTGATGCATTCTTTATTTATCACGCTGCGTCTACCAGCTTTTGTACCGCTTTCTTATGCGAGACTGAGCGTAGAGTGATGCATGGCTCCCGACACCTGGGCTAGACTTTCGAAGCCTGCATGTCGTGACTCTCGGAAACCCCAGTCTGCATTGAGGACACGTTCCAGGATGCCACCGTCAATTTGACGCCGAGTGGTGACACGAAAATTTTGATTGTCAAGGATCGCCAAGTATGGTTACCTCTTACGAGAACGCGTCAAATTACCGGGGGCTTGCTGACACAAGTACCTCACTAACAATTTCCTGGTCCCACGACTTATCACAGTCCTAGCCTGGGTTTGGACAGGAACTCCACAGACTGTTCATCCTCAGAGGAACCAACCAGCCATTTGAACTTCTTCACGGTTCTACCAGGATCCGCCATGTCTCGCTAACTTTCTTGATCCATGGGCAAATTTGGCCGGGGCATGAACCGACTCCGCACTGCAAGGTTTGTTTGAACAAGATTGCTCTTCTTTTGTGGGGGCGATCGCAAAGCTATCTCTATTCAGTCCTTACCTGGTTCACAGAAAAGATAAGCCCTTGATTCCTTTGTCATTACACTTTAATGGCTTCGATTATACTTAGTTGTAGTTTTGGGCCAATTGCCTCACTCATATGTGATTTAGTCGTCCTGCAATTGAGATTGTCATGTTGTTATTCAAAAAAAACTATCTGCACATGTCAAGAGACATAGCCGCGGAATTCACAAGGACTAGGCTCTCCACATTGGACGCTCTAGGCCTTCGCCATTCCTCTTTGTTCACATGCTGATAAGCTCAAGTCCATGCGGCTCAAGTGACCTCCCTATGCAACAACAGCATCTGGATTGCTTCTGGCTGAACAATAAGCACCTCTGTGCTATTGCAGCATGCGTACTTTCAGTCACCCGTCGATTTTATGGTCTGGACCTTCACTCCGTACCAAAAGTCATATTTTTGCATTCATTTGTACCTTGACTCCAATATGCTCCAAATGTCAAACCTTCCCATCTCTTACTCTCAGGCTTATACCAATTGACTGTCCCCAACGCGCCAATGATGCATCAAGGTATATAAACAAGGTATCATACAGAATACATAACGAAAAAGTGTTGCTTCCAAAAAAAAACCAATGTTTGGTTTCCTTAGGTCATGTAGTATTTAGGACCTTCACCTCCTTGGGGCACCTGCCAGTTGATATCCTGGTGAGGAGCCTTGATATCGCACGTCTTGCAATGGATGCAGCTGCTCTGCTGTTAGAGTCTGTTCTCAACTTAAGAAGGTCGTAGTAAAAACTTTGGAACTTACTTCTGTGCGTTAATTTGGAAGCGCACGCCATGAGGCTTTGACTCGTCCTCAACATACTCGTAAACGCCAGCTGGGCAAAATCGGTTTTCCAGGCCTTTGAAAGGAGGGTATGTTGACTCAGTATGAGCGTCCCAATCCTTGACCTGTAAGTGGACTGGTTGATCCTCCTCATGGTTGGTTCCTGTTCGGGAAACACTCGTCAAGATATCAAAAGTGAGCTTGCCATCAGGCTTCTCGTACTCAATCTTGGGGACCTTATCGGCGGGAAGCGTAGCAGCGTGGTCGGGAGTTTTATGCTTAAGTGTCCAGGGAACGCGACCCTTGAAGACATAAGCCTCGAGACCAGAGTACATGATACCACCATAGAGACCGAGAGGAGTGTGGAAAGATGGTCGCATGTTGCGCACCTCCTTGAGTTCTTTCCAGATGGGAGAATCTCTCAACTTGTTCTCGTAGTCGTACAAAAATACTGTGCCTTCATCGGTCTTTTCGCTAATAGCAGTCCATGCTGCCTCGGCGGCAAGCATGCCTGACTTCATGGCATTGTGAGTGCCCTTTACTTTCGGAACGTTGACGAAACCAGCCGAGTCACCAATGAGTGCACCACCTGGAAAAGCGACCTTGGGAATAGACTGGAAGCCACCCTCAATAAGAGCTCGAGCACCGTACGAGATGCACTTGCCGCCCTCGAGAACATCACGGAACAAGGGATGCCGCTTCAGCTTCTGGAACTCCTGGTAAGGGGACATCCAAGGGTTCGAGTAATCAAGCGAGACGACGAGACCAATCTGAACAAGATTCTCGCCAAAGTGGTACATAAAAGAGCCTCCGTACACGTCTTTGGGTAGCGGGTAACCCATCGAATGCACAACTAGCCCCTTTTCAAACTTGGCAGGATCAATCTCCCAAACCTCTTTGACACCAAGGCCGTAAGTCTGATGCTGGCTGTCCCTGCGCAGATCGAATTTGTTGATAACCTGTTTGCTCAGGCTTCCATGGCATCCCTCACCGAACATGGTCACTCTGGCATGGAACTCCATGCCTCGCTCAAACGTTTCCTTGGGCTTGCCATCACGCCCAACCCCAAGGTCGTTGGTGGCGACACCCTTAACTGAGCCATCTGAAGCATAAACGACCTCAGAGGCAGCGAATCCGGGGTAAACCTCAACACCAATCTCCTCGGCCCGCTCTCCAAGCCATTTTACGAATTGATTCAAGCTAACAATGTAATTTCCATGATTGGTCATTTGAGGAGGCGCTGGAATGGGTATAGCAGAGTTCTTGGTGAGGAATCGCATACGGTCAGTGCCAGCAGGAGTGGCATGTTCGAAACGATTGGGATTGTTCTCGTCGAGCCAGTCAGGGATAAGTTCGTTGATGGAGGTGGGCTGGATCACAGCTCCAGAGAGGATGTGAGCGCCGAGGTCGCCAGCTTTTTCCAGGACAAGTACCCGAAAATCCTCGTTTCCAGCTTCATTGGCAAGCTGCTTGAGGCGAATGGCGGCGCTGAGTCCAGCAGGACCAGCTCCTACGATACAGACATCAACCTCGTCGGACTCTCGTTCAACGCTCGCGGGGTCGAAATCTTGGTCATCATCTCGAAGTCGAGAGGTAGTGCTAAAAGCACGAGAAGTCATTGGAACTCTTGCGCCAGACCATACTGTAGTAGATGTCCTTCTCGGGATAGAGAATCGAGCTGAAATTGTGGCGATAGAGAGGTTAGGTCTGGCGGGACAAACTTGGGAGCGAGAAAGCACCCTCGAACTGCGCTGGAGGCATCGCGAAACTGGTCGTGGGGCGGACATAATGACGGTACAGAGCTGAAGGCGAATTGGATGTTCAGCCACCGGGAGCAGGACTGGCGATGGATGAGTGAGACTCGAGGTGAGGGAAAGGAAAAGGGTAAAGGGAAAGGGATTTCTTTTGGAGGAGCTCAAGGTGGGAATAAATGTCCTGGCGTCGGCGGCAAGTAAGCAACTTTCTGCCGCCGTTGACTCTTTCTTTCTCTCGTGGTGCGAGTAGAGAGGGCCGATAGTGGGGAAGGCACGAACGATCGCCGGGGTGGCTATTACCGCTTTTGGGTCCAACTGAGGACTTCTTTTTGACAATTAACTGGATGTTAATTGGCTCTTTTGGCGGGTGCCCTTCTAGAGCTTGGGGCTCCTTTTCCGGCTTGTTAGGTAGTTATCCTCGGGCCTCTACCTTGGTATTTAGATATCAGATTCTTCAGAGAGTGGGAGGTGGGGTTCTCTGTCTTGACATATCTCTTTACAGCAAGGTATCATCTCTTCTCTCATAGGTAGAGTGTTGTAGCTGCAGAACCTAAGGGTTTGTCAAGGCTCTCACCGGCACTCGGTTTTTGGATAACCGAGGCCAAGGAACTACCTACGGTCATTCAACGTCTAAAATCGCGGTTGGTACTCGGCTGATCCGCATTGGTGTGGACCTGGGGTATGCAATGGTTGGATGTATCCAGATTCCAGTGACTAGCATGTGCAAATGTCATCATACATCATGAATGATGATAGCGAATAATGTTAGTTTTATGCACATGGTCATGGGTAGCAGCATCTGATATATGAGCTCTATTAATACAATCACCAATCAGCAAATCTCCTTTTGAATCTGTAACCGTGTGTAAGACCTACAATACCTGACGAATATGTCCAAAAAAGCATGGTAGATGAAATTATCATAAAGTACTAGCCTGCCTATCCTAAGCGTACCCAAGTATTTCTGTCACTTAGGACTGACATTTGAAAGTGTCCTTGTTCGAACATCCCCAGAAGGCTTCAGTTGTCATAATACTTGCTATTGAAGTTTTGAATACATTATCTTGTCATGATGCCAGGGCCCATGAACAATTACGTCAACTCCATGCCCCAAGCGTTCGGTATTCGGATGCTCTTGGCCGATGCTTTCTTTCGGCTTAACGCTGTTCTTTGCCGCGGCTCAGGTATCTACGCATTGTTTCGGCCTGTATTTGCTTCGACATCTATATACACACTACATGCAGCGAGCAGCAAATTCTCACTCACGTGTTGAGGTAGCCTGGTGTGCCAAGGGTATGACTTGATTTACTAATGTTATACAGGGAGTGGTTTGCTTTTCGAGTCTACTATACCATCGTTGTGAGGCTTTCTCGTAAAAATTCAATTGTCATTTACCCTCGAACGAGTGTACTTGGCTATTGTTATATGGTCCGGCTTTCGCTAGAACGTGATGGATCCGACGAGCTAGACAACGAGACTGCAAGAGATAATATGCCACTTCTATTCCGAGTTAGTATATTACTGATTTCTCCAGTTTCAAACTAGCAGACAGGCTGTCTTTGAATGATACTAATATGTACCCATGCTTCAACTCGATGGCTACCCTATACGAGGCATATTGTCGCGGTATATTCCTTTCGTTGCCTGGACTCATCATACACAAATGTGGATTGAGTCATCGTATTAATACTTGGTCGTGTAGAACGTGTTGCAGTATAAACGGTTTCCTTGCATCTCAATTTGCCTGGTTGCACCACGTTGCTGTTGCACCATCAGACCAATCCCAATTTTGAGAGCTTTCGTCTTGAAGTCCTGAGTTTGGGCTCTCTGGCATCGCTGCTAATTTCGAGAACCCATATCTGATTGACTGGTACTCAACCCAACGCGCGCCGCTTTCCGCCAACTCCATCAGCTCCTGATGAATTCGTCGGTGAGTCATATCAACGCACTCAACGAATGGTGTCGTACTCTGGGCCCAGAGGACTGTAGTTCCGTTAAAGCCAACCAGGATAGGAGTTGGATGTGTATGAACCATAGCGTATGGGCAGATAAAGAAGTACTGATTAAAACACCCATGCATTAAACTGAGACAATCTTCTTTAATAAAGAAGTTAGCAGGAAGAGAAATGTCAAATATGCTGGGTAATGCCATCGTGTGCTGCTAAGGCTTGTGTAGTCTTGTGTGTAGGCAATCCGTCGTCCCACAAGCCTGAGCTCTTATATCTAGATGCACCAAAGCAAACAGTGACGTGAGAAGGGCAATATTTTACTGTATTCATGAACACCGATTTACGAACTCTACGCATGAATCACTGGGATCTGCATAAAATACTGCACATATGACTCTGAATGTCTTGCTACGAATAACTGGCATTGAAGAGCAAACCGACAGATATAGCGAGAATCTCGGAGTGAAACATGATAAGTGTTCGTAACGATTTACAATGATACACTTACCTTGCCATAGACTCTCGATACAATGCGCAGGGATATTCAGTATAGGACGTGACCATCAGTGGTGTTGTAATCGGCGATTGGGTCCCTTACATAACGAGATGAGGGCAAGCAAGAACATGTTGAAAATCCCAAAGTACCTGATCTATGAATTAAAACATCTCACAATTGACTTGTCAGTGATCTGAAAGTGTATAGTTATGAGATTGATAGGGATACTATAGATCATCTATATAGGTATGAACTTGCCTTGAGATAAACAATCGATGTCCTCATCTCAATCCGTCTAAACCAATGCCTATTTTGGACGGTTTAGGGGATCGATCACCTTATTTCAATTAGCCTATGAAGTTTATCTCCAACGCTTCAGGCTTCCCCAGCTTCAGCCCCACTCATCCCTTTAGTTTTAGTCAGGGGTCAATGGCCATCATTGGTTCCTGCATATTCAAACCGGGCTCCTTCTGGTACAATCATCCAAGAAACACCAAAATGTTTGCATAACAACAACCCCTTCAAATGACGGAAATACCGTCAAAATGTACCACATACTCCCCCTTCTGGCCAGCATCGTAGCCGTATCTGCCAATTGCCCCAACTACGAACAGTTCGCCCGCGAACGACACGAGCCTTTCTCATCAGGGCGACATGCGTATCCTTTTCAGCGTCCAGGCAAGGATTGCCGCACATATTCAGTGCCTGCGGTTGAGAAGGTGATTTACGATGAGATGGACCAAGCGATTGGTGATCCAGATCTGTATCGTTTGTTTCTGAACACATGGCCTAATACACTCGACACAACCGTGAAATGGCAGGGCACTTCTGCTGATGACCCTGATGAAGAGGTAAATTAATATTCATGTCCAAGATCATACTATGTATTCCGCTGACACTTCATCAGCTGGCCTTTATCACCACCGGCGATATAAACGCACTTTGGCTGAGGGATAGTGCTAATCAGCTCCAATCATACAAGTCAGTCCTTTCTTCCAACAGAGGCTCCCCGTCCAACGAGAACGACATCGCCTCCCTCTTCCGCGGAGCCATCAACCTCCAAGCCCGATATATAACCAAATCTCCCTTCTGCAATGCCTTCCATCCTCCACCTGAAGCCAAGCTCCGCCGTGTGAAGCGATCTCTCCAACCTCGAGACACCGTCAGTCCGAAATATGACACCGATTTCGTCTTCGAGTGCAAATACGAGCTTGATTCGCTTGCAGCGTTTCTTCAATTATCATGGGACTACTACGACGAAACCGAGGATGGCGAATTCTTTGGCAAGTTCGGCTGGGCTGAAGCCGTCAAGGCAATCTTAAGGGTTGCCAAGCATATGCAAGAAGGGACATACGATGAGCAGGGCAGAGTGCAGAAACCTGCATATACATGGCTGCGAAATGCTGACAGTGCCTCAGAGACTGTATCTAACCATGGCCATGGCGCACCCGTCAAGGGTCATATTGGCCTCGTGCGCAGTTTCTTTCGACCATCCGACGACGCATGCATTTATCAGTACTTCATCCCTGCCAATATGATGTTTTCACGCTACCTCGCCGCATGCGCAAAGATAATGAGACCTTTGGATGAGAATGTTGCCAAGGAGATGGAGGCGCTGGCTTTTGATATCGAAGTTGGGATTAACAAACATGCTATTATCCAGCACCCTATTTTCGGGGAGATGTATGCTTATGAGATCGATGGTTTCGGATCATATAGTCTCATGGACGACGCCAATATTCCTTCCCTCTTGAGTATTCCGCACTTGGGCTACAAACCAGCCTCGCAGCACGTATACGACAACACACGCGCTTTTGTGCTAAGCTCATATAACCCCTACTACGCCCGAGGACCTGTCCTGAATGCTACAGGTGGCCCTCATCTGGGTCCAGGCATGGCGTGGCCTATGGGGCTCATTGTCCAGCTTTTGACGACTGAAGATGACGAGGAGATCGTGGATGGTATTCGACAGTTGATGAACTCAACGAGCGGGCTCGGTCTCATTCACGAAACTGTTAATAGTCACAACGAGAAGCATTGGACAAGGTCGTGGTAAGTCATGCCGCCGGAGCTGAAGCGCTATGCGTACTGACAGAACAAAGGTTCTCGTGGGCCAATGGCTTGTTTGGACAAATGATTATGGACTTGTATAAACGGAAGCCAACATTAATAGCCAGGAGCTACCAGGGCGTTGATGAGAAATGATTTATCAATGTGTAATAGGAATCTCTGCATGATTCAAGATTGAGTTGTATAACCGTCCTTAATGAGAGAGGAAGATAACATGCACTTCCGTGTCTAATTTGATCGTGGAATTTAATTCACGTAATACAAGTTGTTCGACTATTTGCTTGTCATAAAGCGTTCAGTGGGATTGTCTGTCTATTGACCGACCAAATACAATACTTATGCCGAAAGCCAGCGTTGTCTCATCATAGTCATAACTCCTAAACATGCATTTCTGATGCTAACGCAAATAAAACACCTCTCATCTGCCTCCTGACTCATTAAAAAAAAAGATCAAGTCCCACTTAACTTAGGTCGAAACCTGCCCCTGACTGTATAGCATAAAGTAACTTCTCGCGAAGCGTCGCCTCTGATGTATATCTTGGTAGCTTGAGTAGGTTAACACATGTGCTAGTACTGGGCAGTCTCTCCTCGTCTGTTCCCCCATCTCGAATGCTGAACAATGGTTTCAATTGTGAGAAGCCCAACAAAGGGGCCCGGGGTGTTGAGCTGACATATTTGAGAACGGCACGGCGTTGATCATCTGTGAAACTATGCATGACTTTCCAGAACAACTTGATTGTTTCATGCTCTTCACCGTCATCGCCAATTTGGTATAAGCCGCCGTAAATGGTATGTTTCCGGAGATCTTCGATATCGATCTCGGATGAGTCGCCGCCGACAAGACGCTGCAGCTCCGACTGATTAAACATAGATAGCCACGATGGGCGGATAATAGACCTCAAACCGCGCAAGAAGGCCGAGGTCTGTGGTGCTGGCTGAACAACCAAACGGTGCCGAGCGACATACGAAATGTACAAGAGGCGGTTGTCGTTCGTAACGTGGATCTGATCGCCATTGGCTATAAGCTTTCTGGTGACGGTCTTCACTGGATCTTTAGGGTCCGAAACCTGGTCCTCAATGGTGAAGTCGATTCCCAGTTCAGAAACATCCCCAGGATAATTCTTGAGTCGCAGCATGCCTCTGTAGAGATCCTCATCCATGTCTCGAAGATCGTTCACGCTTCCTTTATAAGTGTTCTCATCGTTGGGCCCTGTCGACGTCCACTTAAGGAGAAAAAAGCCAGCAAAAGTCAAGTCAACGAGAATACCCTCGTACATGCATTTGCCCACGATCCTGCCGAGAAATTCATATCGCTTGAGTAAATCTGATATCATATCTCGGAATGTGCTGTTGGCTTCTGTCATTCCGGCATGGCGCAATTCTTCCCGAATAACGTCGAGGGCTGTGGGATCAGGGTACAGAAGTCCCTTTTCGTTCGAAGTGAACATGCCTCTACCACCTTCAGCACCGAACGCTTCTGTCGATACGCTGATAAGGAACTCTTTGGTAACACCTCCTCCATCGATACCAGCCTCGGCGGCACCGAACTGATCAACAAATGTGATCTGGATAGGGCCCTTTAGATCGTCCCCTATCTCATAGAATTGCTTATATGCATCGTCAAAGAGACTCTTGCGTGAAATCTGCGCATGATGCTTCGCAAACGGACCGGCAAAAAAAGGCTGGCTGCTTTCCCCTCGTTGCAGTCGATCTAATTGGATAAAGTGGCGAAAGATTTGGACACGGGTTTCGAAGGGAACCGCAAACGGCATGTGTTTTAGAATCTCCAGCTTGGGCTTCATCTCTGCTAATTTGCGCTCTCTTTGACTTCGAATCTGCTGAGCCTTGAGTTTCTCGAGTCTCGCGTGCCGTGACAGTCGTTGGCCAACAATGGTTGAGTAAAGACCTGGGCCATCCCCATATTCACTGCCCTCGTCGCTGGCATCAGAGTCTTCATCGATCTGTCGCTTTTCCTCTGCAATAACGGCACTGACAAAGTCTGACTGGTCTAGTTTTGAGGTCATAAGCCAATGATCTGTGGGTAAGAATTGCTTCCTCGAATCTCTTTCATACAGCATTTTCATAGCTGTCGTAACAATGTTTCGGAGGCTGTCAATATCAAGCCTCGTCGGACTCTTTGTGGGGGATGAAGGTTCCTCCGGTATCATTGCTGAAGATTGTCCAGAACCAAAATAGGTGTCAAAACGATATCTAGAGGCTGCCTCGAGACTACCAGCAGATTTGGAGAGGTCTTGGGCTCTGTAGTGAAGAGTAAATGCAGTATTCTTCAGAAAGCTCGTCAGCATTTTGACGTCCTCCAAAGACAGGCTACAAGATCGAATGCGGGATATTGATTGGTTTTGCTCCATGATCCGTGGGTCAATACCACTGAAAAAATCCTCGTCATCGCTCAAGCGAAGAATGAAGATGTATAGCTCAAGAAACAAGAGAGCAATCCGCCAGTCCTGTTCCTCTTCTAGGGTGTTCGAAGTCTCTGATGTAACACCCAGATACCTGCGGAGGATGTTGAGCGGTGGCTCTGACTCAGTCCTCAACTTTACGAAGACCGCCGTTTCGCTCATAATCTGCCAGAGAAACTTTATCGTTGGGACATCACCCGAAACCGTAGGAATTTCCTCAAGGAAGAGGCGCATGCGTATGTCGTCGCTGTTTGCAGGGAAACACCGGAGCAGGGTTAAGATATACCCAGCCAAAAGGCTCGTGCTTTGATACTCTTGCGAAGAGGATCCTGCCAGGTTGGTTGAGAATTCGTGTAACGTTTGCGAAATGCCATTGCTGTCCACTAGGGACATGAGTCTAGCAGTGATATAAGGATCTAGTGATGGCACCAGAAGTTCATCAGAGCTATTCTCGTCGCTATCTGTCGACTTTGCGGACAACCGGGCACTGATGGTAGAGGAATGGCCAGATAATTGAGCGTAAAGCGTTTCTAAAACACCTGAGCCACCGCTATTGTTGGCGTGAAAGTGACTCAAATCGATGAAGTGGGCGAGCTGCCAGAGTTGAGCATCCTCAGACTGTTTCTCGCTCGATCGAGAGGACAGTCCTGTGGCTATCGCCTCTGAAAGATTAGAAAGTCTGACTGTGCTGGATAGCGTAGCGATATTTTCTTCGAAGAAATACAGATTATTCTTGGCCAAGAAAGAGAAGGCGTATGCACGGTAAACTTGTGATATCCCTGGAAAGTGTTAGTGGAATACCAAGGATCCTGACCGGGAGACTTGCCTTCGTGAGATGCTGCCTCGAGTGGGCTAGAAATGGCTTGAAGCATAATATCTCGCCACTGCTCACTGAGCTCCTGAAATTGACATAGCTTGGCGACTACTGTATAGTAACTGTCGATTACGGGAACGACCAAATCGGGGTACCTCGTAACGATGCGAAGAATGAGTTTAAAAAGAAGATGGGTATCGCCAGAAAGATCTCTGCACATGTTATTAGTTAGACAATGGCCAGATGAAACTAGAGATAAACGTAGTCGCGTACCCTATTGATAAAGACCTATCCAAGGCCTGTAAAAGCAGTTGAACAAGGCATCCTACCCGTGACGGACAAACATTTGAAGGAGCAATTGCTTCGAGGTCGACAGACTCGGTATCATGTGCATAACAGATAGCTCGCTGTATGTCGTCATCTCGTCGCAGGCTGAAGAAGGACAGAAACAGCCCGAATGCTTTAGGAAGCCTCTCAGAAGGATTCTGAAGAGGCCCTGATTTATACAGAGCATCGAAGGCGCTCCTCTGAGACTCCTTCAGCTCGGCTCTTGTTTTGTAGCCTCTCCATATTCTCTGTATCTTGCAGGCTGCCTTTAGTTTTTCCCGATCATTTTGTCGCTTCTCACGCTCGGCCTGTGCATTTGAAACGGTCTTTGTTGTGTTCGAGACAGCAGATGGTGACCACGAGGTATTGGTGAAGGGATTCCCAGTGCTGCCGCTAAGGTTGACATTTCGGGGGCGTCTCGAGTTGCCCGTGAATGTCGAGAACATGGTTATGACGCGGGATGGGGGACCGGATGGGAGGATAGCGAAAGGTTCAGTGAGTCGGGAGTATATTTAGGTAGGTAGGCAACGATATCATGGTTGAATGGCACAGCCGTCGAACCTGTCGTGAATATGTGTCGAGCTTGCTTCTAGAAGATTCAGCTTAGAAGCTCAGTCAGCGACGAGCGGCGGCCTGGTCTATTTTAGATGCTATTTGCCCAATGCCGCGTTCGGAGTTTGGAGATGCTTTGGTGGGGATGGCTTTGAGGTGACCTCACCTTTGTCTGCAGCCGGGATTGCGATAAGATAAGACCAACTACGCTGAGCAACTGCGGAATACGCAAATGCGAAATGCCATGACCACGCCGTGAGCACGATTATGCGCTAATTGAGGAGAGTCTATGCGAAGGGACTCTCGTTTCATTCTGCGGAGTTTTTTTTAATTTTTAATTTAAGCTCTTTTCTGAACCTCGGTGTGATACACTGATTAGAAATGCTGATATACAAAGTCTTGGTAAGTTCTAGATTCAGTTCTGTGATAAGACTCCGCCAGGCATACCTTCGGGACTTTGTCATTTTGAGAAATCTTGTAGTCCAATAACTGGTTTATTTGTATTTTGGTTAAGGAGTTTTAATAAAATGTAATACTCTTATTTAGTCAAATAATGACTTCGTGAACAAAAGCCTTCCATCGTGAGAATTTGCGTATAGGTCGGTATTTAATCATATTATAGAAGAACTAGTCACAAGCAGACCCATACCCTCATTATGACACGACATTTCCAACCATCATACTCCGTAAACGTTGCGTGAAAGTCTTCCCATGGGCCCCGAGTCCTGTTGGGGTGGCTTCGTGTTTAAGATTACATGAGTTCCAGGTAATTGCATAGGTAGAACGGCTTATCGATGACAGGAATTTTTGCTTGTTTTTGTCTCAATCCTAAATACTTGCATCTTTTCATCTTATACCCCTCATGTGACGTCCGGAAATTGCACTGTCAAAGGAACCTTGACCCGAAGGATGTCCACTTGTTGAGTTCACGCGCCGCAATAATATTGTATGCCTGCCTTTGGCGGTGAAGAAACCAAACATCATGGCATACTGGATCTAATGAAGCGCCTAGCAATAGGTTC